GCCTTCTCTCTCTCTCTCTCTCTCTCTCTCTCTCTCCTCTCTCTCTCTCAATGGATTCATTACGGGAAACAATTATTGGCCGGTTTTTTAGAAAAAAAATCTCATGTTTTTTCCTAAAATATTAAAATATAATTTTTCATCAAGTCAATCGTATCAAATGTCAAAACAAATCAATTATAATATTTTTGAATAAAATTACTATGTTTTGATCACCACACAAAAAATAATCAAACAATTACAGTCTAAGCTAAACCAAGCAATCGCAACTAAACAAGAAGAAGATATCTAATAAAGATAATATAGCAAGTAATTAAGCAGAAATTATATTCGTAATGTATGTCAGAAATTTTTTATTTTTTATGAAATAAATTAAGCAAAAATTTTATAAAAAGTTATAGGTTGTGGTAATCATTAGCTGCACTAATTGACTTAGAAGAGCTTCAAACACAAAAAGCTATGGACATGCTCTTTGCCCTGCTTTAGCTGTAGATTTTGATTTCTACTTCAGTTGGTATTGCTATAAACTAAAACAATATTGATGGCAGTCATTTAATTCATGTACAAACTAATTTGCACTATAAGAACTGAATATATACAGAAAAGTAGCAGCTTGGCTGCTTGTGGAAAAGCAATGCAGCATGCAGCATGTGACACTCATACAGAATCATTGAAGTGATTACAGCATTCAGAATCAACTACAGAAGTTACCTAAACACACAGATCTTCAGAAAGGAAAGGAATGCAATGTTTTAAGGTGAGAGGCCAAAGCAGAAAACCAACAACACAGAAGAACAGCTGTTCTTGGAATCATGGAGATGCAAGTTTCACATCAATGTTTATACTAACAAGTGGCAGTATCTGCAAGTGGATTCCCATTGCCAGAGTGTTGTCAAGAATAAAAGTTCAGTCACAAAGAATAAGAGTTGTCACTCGAGAATCCCACTTGGGACCTGTCATCTCCTTGTCTGGTTTGTTTCTGATACTAAACTCATGGTATATATATTATTTCTCTATTCCTAGAACTGTTTCTTCACACCTTATACAGAGATCCTCCCCAGTGCAACAAATATCTCACTAAGTTCCCTTGGCATTATCCAAACATT